CTTGCCCTCTTTCCAGCATTTATTCCTGTGTATGAAAGCAGTGAGTTCCCAACAGGTTTAAAAAGGCAAGAGTACAATACCAACCCATGTGTGACCTTCTGTTGTTGATTTATTCGCATCACCCAACAGGTGCCTCATACAGAGTTCAAACTAATAAATGCTGAAAGACAAAACTGACAACCTTACAGCGAAATGTTGTCAGGGACAACTTCTAATCCTTTCTGTTTTTATAGCAGTGAAAAGATGAGAGGAGAAAAAAAGAATAGGGAAAAGGAGGGGATGGGAGACAAAGAATAAAATTCTGAAAAAGTTAGTGCCCCAGAGAGCTGCATAATGATTAACAGTTCTTTTTTCAAATTGTGATTCCTTTTCAGTCCTGGATGACAATAGAACCATAACTTCATCAAAATTACTTTGAATAGCCTCATTAATGACACACAGTCTTGGTTTGTCCCTGCCTCAATGTCTGATAATATTTTCATACCTCCTATTGAATGTATGTTTAGCTTTGTCCTCCTCATTTGCACAATGCATTCATACATATCAGATAATCTTCTTTTGTTGTTTGATGTTCAACAATTCAATGTGATGTTAGCAATACAGGGGAGGGGGTAAAAAAGGAGGAGGATAAGAAGAGGGTTTCTTTTCAGTTCAAGCCAGCTAAACAATGGAAAGGGAAGTGTATTATATGATCTGTAGAAAGCAGCCTTGTTCATCCAACTCTAGCTGCAGAGAGTATTTAGAAAGCACAGACCTTAAATATGATTTATTGAAGTACAATATTGCCTTCATTGCACATATTAGAGGCATTTTCTTCTAGAATAGCTGATTAACAGAAGAAGCTCCCTTAAGAACAGCTGCACAGAGTATTCCTGTCAAGCCTCTACCTTGTACAAATATTTTTAATTAATAGATGCCTTCATCAAATACAAGAAAAAATTAAGCACTAACACTCACCAGAGACCCTGCTATTAGAGTGATTATTTTAGATTTAGTTTCATTTGCAGATGTCATTAATTTATTTTTAATAGATCACTAATTTAGTTTTGTCTATTTCTTGTTCAGTTTTGTAGATATTAGCAGGCTGTGCTTCCTTCAAAGCTTTCCCCTCCCTCTTCCTCCAGGCTCTGTACTCTCCACAGTGCATCTGTGTTTAAATTAGCTGGACTGCTGCAGGCTGAGATAGCGATTAATCTGCACATCTGCCACAAGAGAGAAGTTAACAGTCTAGCTGAGGGACTCAAAGCAAAAAACAGCATTACCACTGCAAGTCATCTGTTCAGTTTGGCAAAGCAGTAGTTGTGTCACACAGGAGCAGGCTGCCCTTGAAGTATCTTGTGTTTGAGTGAGTGGCAGTGGTGTTGTTGTGCAGTACATAAACCTCTTTTTGTCAGCTTGCATTAAGCACAGAATTGACTTGTAAGACATTTGTACTTGGGGAGAGAGGGATGAGCAATGTCCTGCCTGTAACAAAGGAAACATCAATGCCACAGCACAGAGCTGAGATACTAGACCTGGTTTATTGGAAAACTACAGCAGCCTGTTCAAATTCCTCTATTGCTGCAGCTCAGCTACTTGTGCTTCATAGGTGCTCAGATTCAGGGTGTCTGTGCAAATGGACAGGATGAGGTGAGTCCCAGAGCAACGTGTCCAACAGCTGCCTGTTCCCAGGAGCTCAAACAACCCTTTTCTTGGTGTCAGTCTCAGCAGTTTTAGGCTTGTGCACACAAGAGCACTTCATTGCTATGAACAGTCTAAGAAAGTTGGGGCTGTACAACCTCGAGAAGAGAAAGTTGTGTGGAGACCTCAGAGTAGCCTTTGAGTGTTTGAAGGAAGTCTAAAAATCAGCCAGAGAGCAACTCCACAAGAACTGTATGGGATAAAGTTCAAACTGAAAGGGGAGATACTGGTTAGATACACAGAAGAAATTCTTTACTGTAGGGATGTTGAGACGCTGGAACAGATTTTCAGTGTTCAAGGTCAGGTTGGATGGAGCTCTGAGCCACCTGGCCTAGTGGAAAGTGTCCCTTCTCACAGCAAGGGATTGGAACTAGATGGCCTTTAAGGTCCCTTCCAACTTAGACCATTCTGTGATTCTATGTTTCTACAAATATGGTGTCCAGGATAGTAAGAGATGGAGATAAATATTCTTTACCCTTTTAGACTAATATGAGGAGTGAAGAAATAGAAAGTTTCTTTGCCTTGGTTTTGATCTGACAATTCTGATTCAGAGGGATGGCATGCCTTTTGTTTTTTTTTCACTCACACAGGAAATTTAAGAAAGAGCTATGAGATGAATATAGACCTTCTTTGTCCTAATTCTTTGTTGTTTTATTACACATGAGTGGCATTTCCTAAAGGGCAGTGCCATAGTCTGGTCACCTCTGCTCCATTGCAGTCAATATCACTTTATCACTGACTTTAGAAAAAGCTGAGTACACACTTGTTCTAAAGTGAGTACATGGTCAACCACAACAAGACAAGAAACTGCTGACTTTATGTTGGTTGAGTGAATATGCTTCTCCAGCAGTGTGTCAGTTTCTAACTGAGGATATATCTAGATTTAATTTTAATCGGATCTCTCCTAAATGGAATTAAAGAGTGTTGGTTGTAGTGGGAACCATGGAACTTCTATCTTCTGCAAACATTTTTGTTTTACTTCTGTGGGGATAATTTTGACTTGTACCATTCTTAGGCTGAATATGCAACCTGTAAGATTTAAGTGTTTTTCCTTGTCAGTTTGCTGTCTCAGTCAGGAAACTGAAAATGTTCATTCATAAACTTTTCCAGTAAGTGACTGGATGGAGACAGGTATTCAGAATTTTTAGACATGCTATTAGTAAGCACATCATAGTAAAAAAAGACAAATATTAATGAAATAGAAGAAGGAAATTATGATTATTGTCTCCAACCTCAAGATAATACTGGATATTTTTTCTGTCATGTGTGTGATTTACTTTTTACTTCCATACATTTTTCTCTTTTTCTTTTAAGTATATGAAAGGTTTGGGTTTTTTTAATATTAGTATCATTACACAAAGTATTACTTGCTTAAAGAAATCTTTATCAACATACTCCATTTAGAAAAACAGGATGTTTTCTCCAGCTGTGTTGTTACTTCTGTAAATGATTCCTCCACAATAAATATTTGTCCTGTCCTGAAGAGTGTAAAAACAGAGATGGTTCCCCTGTTTAAGGAAGGATAACTGTTTTATGAGATTAACCTAACTGGGTGATCTGTGGGATCTTCCTGCATTCTAAATTACCTCTTTCCTATGATAGCTGTTATTATCTCTTTCACAAAGACCCTCTGCTACACAATTTCTGTAATAACCTATGCAATCTTCATCCATTTAGGTATTGCCAAAGATCTACTGGGTTGTGGCACCACGAGAATCTTCCAAGACCATTTTTTTATCTAGGAATGAGATTCCTGTGGTTTGCCAGTCATTTATCAAGTACATCTAGAGAAAAATCCACTAATTGCAACCTAATCTTACCAACACCACTACAATGAGCATAGGGATAAGTGTGCAGACATGAAACCAAAGCATAGTTGCCCCTTTTGTGTCCTTTAAGTCAGCTCCAGTGACATTGGGATGTTGATCATGATGAGGAGCTCAAGGAATGCAGTCTGTACATCCCCTACATCAGCAACTGTGAAAGATTTCCCAATAGAAAGCTTATTGCTGGGCAGGGCTGTGAGTGACTGCAGAAACTCAGGAGCTCTGGGTGTGAGGAGCACTGCCTTAAAGACTTTGATAGAGGATGAGATGTTCAGTCCATATCTAGAAATGTGGTGCTAAGTCTGCTGACTTGCAGGCCAGCGGGTCTCACTAGCTTCAACTCAGAAGCATAGAAAGTTACAATATTCTGAAGCAGATGGGAATTTGGTAAAAAGGGATGGAGACTCCAGGGAAGAATTGCAAGTTCTAGTGGAAGTGATATGAAAGCAAATTAAAGTAAGAATAAAAGGTTTGACAGCTCCATTATGAATGCATTAGCTGTAAATATGAAATGCAGCCTGCTTAGCAGAAGCTGTGGATAGTGTCCATCAAGGCTGGAATGAAAAGGTACTAATATTGATAGAGATTTTGGGAATATTTCACAGTGACCTTTCCAATACACTTATAGGAAAGGATGTTACTTTTCTCTACTGCTAATGGTACAAGTTATTTTTGGCTGCTAAGGATTTTACGTTTCATCTAGATGCCAAGCTAACCTTGGAGTGTGTTAAGGAGACCTGACTGTAGTTGTTCTTCTGTGGGTGATAACTCAGCTTCTGAGGAGACACTGTCAGTCTCTCTATCAGTCCCACATGGAGATGAGTGTCTGTGAAGAAGCTGTGTGTGCAGCTTCAACAGAACCCAGAAATCTGGACAATTCCCATCATCCTGGCTATGGAAAACTCTTCTGTTTAAATAAATAAAGTCCTACAAGAAAGAGCACATTGTATGCAAGATAATCTATCTCCTGTATGCAAGATAATGAGACCATAGATTTTAAGAGTTGCTGAGAGTCTGAAAAGAACTTGGTTCTTAGCAGAGAGGGTGTTGATGTTTGCTTGGTGAGTCCCCACCGTATAAACAATAAAATTTGCCTTAGGCTGCAAACTGTGTCAAGTACTAGGCCAGGAACAATTTTCCTGTGGTTGTTCACCTCACAGATATACTGCTCTTTAATATATTCTGCCGTATAAATGTGGGCTACATATTTTTCCAGAAAAAAAACCCCTGGTCATTGTTTTCCTTTTTATGCTACACAAAAACACTTGCCCTTTGATTACTGCAGATTACTAACCTGTTCACAAAAAATACACCACAGTAAACACAAGATTGCATTCATTTGCACAAGAAATGTGAGTTTCTTATTCACTCTCCTGTGTCCAAGTGTTGTTGCAGGATGAAGTGTCAGGGTGGATGGAACCAAAAAGACCTCAGGAGTATTGTGCCTGTAATCACTGTCATATCCCTGCTGTTCTGCGTGTTCTTGCTCTCCAGCATGTGAATGTACTCATCATCGTCCTCACAGTCTTTGGCAAGTTTGGGACGTTGGACTCTGGTGAGACTCCACACAAGGATATTCTACAAAATCATCATCTCTCTCTTCCTCTGATTCTGAGCTCATGCTCATGTTTGACTTCTGCCATGTCAAAAAAGAACTCTTCCCAACACTGAGGGAAAAGACAAGATGAGGATTTGATACCCTGTGGACTCTCTCCAAAGTAAGTAACTGTAGATTTTTATTTTCTGTCTTAACAGAACCTTTTGCTTAACCATCATTGCCCTCTTTCCCTGGAAGCCCAGTTTTGTAAGCCAGGCAACTGCAGACTGAGAAATAGTGTGTAAAGGGAAATAGGGAACAGCAGAAAATGTATTTGACACATTTAACTTTTCCTTTCTCTTTAACTTTTCCCTTCTCTTTAACTTTAGCAGTGGTGTTTTGCCAAGCATATTCGTTTAGAATGATTACCTGGGCAACTCTGAGCTATAAATTCCTTTCAACATCTGTTCAGAAGAGTTAATAATTTATTTGATGTGTTAGTTGTGTGAAAGTGTTTCTGTTCTCTTAATGGCTGAGCCATAAACATTTTTATCAGGATTCTTCATTTTATCCTAGAATAGTTAATATGAAACTATTTTTCTATGTAGATTGGGAATTTCATTCTGAAAATGCTGATTTATTGTAAATCTTTAAGTCCATTATAGACTAGAAGTGTTCAAAATTATTCTTGATGAACTACTGAACTAAATTTTTTTCCTTCTGTTCCTGAACTGATCAGCTTTCCTATGAATGCATTAATTACTCAAAAACTTCTAATATTTCCCACTTCAGAAAAAAAGGAATTGTTATAAAGGCTTTTTATAAATCCCCTGCTACTGGTTCATTACATATCTGGTAATTTTTTCAGGCATTTGATTTGTCTGCTTACTCAAGTCTTCTGTTTCTACACTATAATTAGATAATTTAGTCTTCAAATGAGAAAATCACCAAAAATATCTAACCCATAATGACTTGCAATATTACTTTACAACATGAATAATTATTCACTGACTATTTGCAAAGTATTTAGGATTCATAAACATCTTCAGGGCAAAAAACATTTGTCATGCAGATACGCATATGCAGTCGTTAATAATAAGCCACAAGTAATAACTGAAAGAGCTGACAGTGCTTATGACAAAATTATTCACTATTTTTTGTGGTATTCAGCCGAGTCTGCCTAGGCTTTATAAATAACTGCTGACTTAGAGATTCTGAAGGCCAGGCAGAACTACTGGGTCATTTTTTTTTATTTCCTAGGTAATATTGATATTCTTCCCTAGTTGTGCTGGATGATGATTATATCCATGTGCATTTATTGTTTTAATTCTGCTGAATGTAGATAGACTGAAAAGTTTTAAATAAAATTTTAAATAAATAATCTGGCATAGTAGTTGATGAGGCCTAATAAGAAAAATGAATGTTTAGTACAGCAGTCACATATTTAAATAGTGCAGCACTCAAGTCATAGTTAAAATATTTTCCATGTACAAGGTAGAATGGTTTAGAGATTTTCTTATTCCTTCTTTTTGCAAAATCGTGTAGAATCCTGATGGGAAATAGATTGCAGAGAGCAGTGACAGTCATTTCTCTGTAGCAAATGCGGTTGTTAATGGAAAGAAATGCAAGACAGCCATCTGTTGGCTCATGCAGAAACCTGTTTGGCTCCCAGTCCCAGGGCAGGCTGCCTGCAGCCCAGGCAAGAATGAGTACAGTGCTCCCTGCGAGGGCAGGTGGTGTTTGTGCCCAGCTTCAATTCAGGCTGAGCACCAGTGCACTGAGAGGGAAATGTATGCCTGTGAAAATGGGTCCTGGGAGCGCTGCAGACACCTGGGACGCAGGCAGGGCTCTGCCATCAGCACCTTACTGGTTGGACAGAGCATTTCTGCATGTTTTCCCTGATAATTGGTCTCTTCCAGCCAGGTCTCATAAGCTCTTGATGATTTATATCACACCCAAGATAGCTCAGCTACCTTTGAAGGCATAAAATCAGCAAGATGGCTTCTGTGGTAGTGTTGGAAACAGAAAAGTTTTAATAAAAGGCAAAATAACAAAACCTCTTACAGAGAGAAACCGAGCCAGGTGCAAGAAGTTCTTGCCCCTGGTAAAACACCTCACAAAAGCCATTAGTTTCTTTGTTCTCTTCTTTTTCCAGTAAATTGCTTAGGCTGGATTTTTTACCTCCTGTCCAATTAGCTATCCTTAAGTTTAAAGTGAAGTCCCCCAAGTCCTATGAAGAGTCTTTTTACCTAATCAAAAAACCCCAAAAACTTCTAAGATTTTTTCCTTTTTAAAAAGACAAAAGATAGTTTTGTCACTCCACCAATAAAAAGCACATTCCTGTATTTCCCAAGCAGCAATTGTGTGCTGCAGGACGATGTAGCCAGGTGCTATCAAGGGTGATGGACTCAGCACTGATGCACTTCCTGAGGAGAGCAAATGCACAGCTGATCTCTAAATGTGTGACAGTGTAGAACTGGAGATTTGTTTCTCCTGGGCTTGTGGGACACCTTCATATCTACATTGCAAAGAGCACACAGGTGAAGGTAATAATTTATCTTTAAATACTCAGGGTTCTGCTAAATTTGAATTAGGTATCTTGGATCTTTATGGTTTTTAGGCTATTGGCTTTTATTAAAAACCTTTTTCATCATACAGATCATTAAATGAAAAAGTCAATAATTGGGTCTTTGACTGTCCCAGATCTCCTGACACAGATTTACACCGATAAACAAGACTAGTCACTATCATTGCTATTTGTGCTGAGGGGCTGACCACCACATCTTTCCCATCTGAGATACTCTCCCAGGCTTCTGTTTTGAACTGGGACTATTTTTAACTATTCCAAGATCTGGGACCATTTAGGTAGGTTCAATTCCCAATAAAAAAGAGGTAATTTTACTCTGCTGTCTGTCTCTAGATTTTTTATTAGATACAGATAAAGTAGTGGCTATACTGGCTCTCCCTCTGACCACAGTGTAATGATTGAGCAGGTTATATCTCTTTCAGTGACAATAACATGGAGTGCTCTTAATATGTTACTTGTGGTGCTGTGTGCTTGGGCAAGGATTTTGTGAGCCTCTCACAAATTGCTGCTGTCAATAGCCAATACAGCTGCATGCTGGTACTCAGGATTAAGCTCCAAATCACAGCAATTTCAATGGAAATTTTATCAATGTTCTTATCTGGCACAAACTACAATTTTCTAGAGGTCTCTGACTTTGCTTTTTTTTTGGTCCCTGCTGTGGCCAATTCCAGTTAAAACTAGGAAAAATTTGAAAATCACACCCTATACATTTCTGAGCAAAGACAGATTGAATTTCAATAAAAATTAGAGTGAAATACATGGCCCCTTGTTAAATCTAATGTAATTTTAAATGAGTGTAAATTAATTCTGGGCATTTTTCCTCTAAGTCCTTCACATATCCTTTTGTAGGTCAGTGAAATCATAAGAAGGGAGTACAACCCTTCTTGTAATCACCCATTGATGTGGCAATATACCCTTAATGCACAGAAATATTCTCAATATGTACAGGAGTTAAATCTTGTGGTCTGAGTCCAAACTTAATGGACAATTCAGCTGGAAAGGCATTCCAGTCTATGTATGAACTATTAGAATAGGAATATTCCTCACATCCTCACATTGCTAATAGAGTCCTCTTAGCAGAGCACAAGGACCCTGAAAGAATGGAAGGAGAAGGTTTACATGATTTCAGGGGAGATGCCTGACAGATTATGTGCTGGATTTGAGAAGCTGGCATTTCTGCTAGGTAAGGTTTTACTCTTGCTTCATCAGCAAATCATGACAAAAGGTCTAGACTGGTGGTGATTTTGTTATATTTAATATGAATTTCATGACTTTGCCTCCATTTTGATCCATAAAGTCTGGGTTTTCCCCTTTAGTTTAAATGACCTGGTTTTGAAATTGCTGACTGCAGGTCTCTGGGGGTATTCACTTCCAGAAGCTTCTGGGGAAGAAGGACTGATCCTTAATGCCAGAGGAAGGTACACCTTTTATCCTGCATGAATAACTTCATTCTCAGAGCAACCTGGAGTGGGATGTGGGAATTGATATATTGTGTTTGTGTTGATGGCAAGGGAAAGGTAAGACAGCTTTGACAGACATGGTGATGGGGGCTTTATGTTTACTGAAAGCTAATGAAAAACTCTTAGAAATTTTGGAACAAAACCAAACCAATTTCTTTAATAGAATGGAATGGTTTCCCAGGAATTCTGAATATGTTTGATTCTGTTAATAACCTTATCCAGGCTTTGCCTTTGACCCCAAAACCAAGATGATAAGAAGGTTTTGTTGCTCAAAACAGATGAGCTACTACTGTTAGAGCAAGCTAACAGGTGTGGATTATGTCACTACAAATACAGAAGGGGAAGGTGACACTTGAGGTGTTTGCCTCTGGCTAGCTGTGTGAGGCCAGTGCTGTATTCCTGTCCAAGCAAAGACTTTCTGCTTAACTTACAATAAATTAAACTGACTACTTGTCACTGGGGCTGAAGCAGCTTTTTTTTTTTCCCTCTTTCTTCCTTTCTTTTACCTCAGGGTAACTAATACACCTTTGTTTTCCTGTGGTAAAGCATAGTGAAAGCAAGACACTTCAGTTTATAATATCCATGCTATGCATCTGCCTAAAGCTGACATATCTCCCAGTGAAACTGAAGTATTCTGACATTGCTTCTTTTTTGTTTGTTTGTTTTGTTTCAAAAACCAAAACAACCCTACAACCTAGTGTGTGCTAATTACAGCATCTTGAGCAATGAATGCATTGTTTTAGGTGCAGAATTCCTAATATATGCTGGTATGGAGGTTCCAATGCTGACAGTAGAATTTCTGTCTTGGAAGTAGTCAATCTCCTCCCATAGGCAGGCAGTGTTCCTTCTTTTCCTGGCTGTTACTCACTTGCATATTTCAATTTGATTCACTCACCTGCCATTCTGCTCTTCTCTTCCCAGAGGTAGCTGCTCAGATTTAGTCACTTTTAAAGTGCTTGTCCAGCTGTGAGCTTCCTGTTTCACTGTCACTTGCTCTCCACTGAAACAGATATTATTAGCTTAGGACCAGCATTTGCTGTCTCTGCACATTTTACCCTTCCACCTCAGAGTGGCAGCCTGAGATTTGTTGGTTTCCTACACTTAAATAGACAAACTCCATTTCCCATGATTCTT